ACAAAACACTCCTACAAATCAAAAGACACAAACAAAAAAGACCTGTACAAAGAATGGGGAGAATATGTGAATACATACTTTCCAAAGATGGCACCCGCATGGCCAACAGACACAGAAAAAGTTGTTCAACATCACTAATCGTCGTCAAGAAAACCTATGTCAAAACCGCAATCAGCTATCATCTCACAACTGTAGGGACGGCAATCATCCCAGAGACAGACACCAGGTGTGGTCAAGGGTGTGTAGACAAGGGGACCCTGTGCACTGTTGGTGGGAATGTAAACTGGTGCAGCCACTGTGACAAACAGTATGGAGTTTCCTGAAAAAATAAATACAACTATCACATGACCCAGGAATGGCTCTACTGAGTGGATTTCTTTGGAGAACACAAAAACACTACCTCGAAAAGACAGATGCATGTTCACTGCAGCATTATTCACAGTAACCAGACATCGAAACAGAGACCTTGGGAGCATTATGCTAAGTAACTCAGACACAGAAAGACAAATACCAGGTGCTGTCATGGACATTCCACACGGAAACAAAAATACTGAACGCATAGATACTGAGAACAGATGGGTGGTTGCCAGGTTCGGGGATGGGGGGGCACGTGGGAAGGTGGTCAAAGGCACATGTTTGAGTGATAAAATGCGTAAGTCATGGAACGTTTTCTGCAGCATGGAGACTAAAGCTAACCCTGCAGGATGGGGTACAGGTCCCCCCGCTATTTGAAAGTACAGTGTTCCTAGGAAACCTTTCACAGCAGAAATGGTGTAAACCAAAGGAGGAATTATCATTCATTTATACAGAAAAAATAGTGAGCGTGCTCACACTCCAAAAATGACTTCTCTTTGGCTTTTCCTAGGCCTCAGGGCACAACTTCCTAAGGGATGCCCAAAATAAATGGAGATGAAACACAGCAGATGCTCACAGACACGATTCAAAGTGCTGAGGGCTGGACGCAGAGAGCAGTTCCCAGGAAGGAGCTGGTTGGGGTGCAGGCTGCCTCTGCAGTGGCTCCCCGCAAAACAGATGCTGAACGCGAGGCTCACTTTTCGACTTCTTTCATAAGAGGGAAATCCTCTTCGGGTTTCTTCCTGTTACTGAAGCCGAGTAATGACGTAGATCTTTCAAAAAACCCAAATGTCTTACCATGAACTTTTAAAAAGTGGGGGATACTTGTACTTGAAAGTTGCTGAGGGAGGAGATGTTAAATGTTCTCCCGGACACACGCATCAGCAGATCCACCGTGAGAGGCACCTTCCTCAGCATGGGGAACACGGACTACCTCCTACCCCCAGAAACCTCCTCCTTCCCCTTCCTCAGGACAACAAACCACAGCTGGGAGTTACCCCAATTCCTCCTTTCTGCCACTCCCAATATCTAATCCATTGGCAAATCCTGTGAGCTCCATCTTCAAAATGTACTCAGAATAGGACTAACCACTTCTTCCGAGACCACCTGTCTGGCCCACACTGGAGCCCATCTCTTGCCTGACTTCCTGGAAAAGCTTCATCATGGACCTCCCTTGCCCATCCTCAACCCTCTGTCACCTGTTCTCAGCACTGTAGCCAGGAAGGCCCAGTGAAACAGGGTCCCATGGGGTCACAGCCCTGCAGTGACTTTCTGTCTCCCTCTGTCCCCTCCCTGAGGCCATGTCCTAAGCTGTCTCCTGTGGCCACAGGGCCTTCTTGCTGCTCCTGGACATACCTGGTATGCTCCTGCCCTGGGGCCTTTGCACACGCTTTCCCTTCCGTTTAGAATGCGCTTGATGTGATATCACTCACCTTCTTTAGATCTTGACTCAAGGATCACCTTCCTAGTGAAGTCCCACCTGGCCCCTACGTGAATGGCAAGCACCACCCCCACCTCCCCTTCAGCATGCCAGCCCTGTCTCCTGCTCTATATTTCCACATATAGAACTTATCACAGTCACCAGTCCATCTCGGCAGGGCAGAAACGGAGGCCTACACGGATGCTTTCACCACGGACTACCTCCGATTTCCTGGTCCAAAGCCCCGGGGAAAAGGTGCCCCAGAGCTCTTGCACAGCCAGGATGCCCGGGACAAGGGGGTCCACCTACTGCACCCTGAACACCATCAGGAAAATGAGCCATACGAGGACTCCACCTGCCCATGAGACCTGAAACCAGACACTTTCCTCGATTACAGGTGAGCACACACACGTCCTCTCCTTGCCTGAGGTGCTCATCTGAGAAAGCTGAGCAGAGACCCATCCCAGGACCCAAATCTCCCTTTGCCCAAGGTCCTGGGAAACAAACATCTCTCCTCCCTGCACCAACCACCTGTGATTGAAGTCCGGAATCCTCCTGTGGTCAAGCAGAGTGGTGCACCTGTCCCTCTTTCCTGTGATGTCATCACAAACCAAGCTTTGCTGCACAGGACATCTGCTGTGCCTCCTCTGAGGAAGCAGGGGGCACACTGCACAAGAATCGATAATGCTGCGAGTGAGCTGCTTCCCACCAACCACCCTGCTGAGCCGAGGGCTCGAGAACCAAACAGGAAGCAACTCTCTTATCACATCTGCAGCAGGAGGGCTGGCCAGGGAGGAGAGCCCAGTCCCTATCCCTGGAGCAAGCTGGCCTGCCCATCGTGAGCGATGGTCCACCACCACGGCGTCACAACCTCCCACCTATCTGATCCGACTACCCTGCCAGGCTCAGACTTGCTCACACAGAGAGTCATAAGACCCAGCGACTTCTTTCCACTCCAGCTCAATGCTTCTCACGGAGAAGCAAACTCCAGCCTCACATATGTGCTCATCGTTACCTCTGGAATTCCCTGGGTGGTGTCTACACTGGCCCACACAGCTGTCCCATCCAGGCCACTCCACAAATGCCCTAGGGTTTCAAGCCACTTCCAAGCTGCCCTTAGAAAGGCAGGAACTGGCCCGATGAGGCACACCAGCCAAGTGACTCCATGTGCTAGAAACTCGGACAACATCCTCGCTGAACACCAACGCTTCCGAGTCCGAGCTTCAAACATTCGCTCACTGGGCACTGAGCACCATGTCAACATCAACACTGCTCTTTCAATTCACTTGTCTCCCATTCCTTAAAGTCGGAAACCAAGCTCCAGTCACCGCTCTAGTTTCCCTTCAGAGAAATAAGGCAAATGAGAGAATAAAACACTATGTGTGCACAGCACACTTCTATCAAAATATAACTCCTTCGTCTTTCTCATATGGGCAGCCCTACATGACCCATACGAATGAGACATGCCACGAGTTGAGTCATTATATATATATATTTGACCTTGTGTTTTTCCTTTTGATATTTGTATCTTGAAGTCAATGTCTATATTGCTCTCTTAAAATAATAATAATAATAATGACATGGTCACATAAGGGTCTGGATCTCCATAGCCACACACCCTGGCTCTGGTCCAGATAAGGAGGAAGATACAACCTCAGCCCAGGAAGCGAGGCCCACACCCTCAGGGATCCCGACACGCCTCACGGGTGATGGGTTCCTTTGTGACATGCAGTTGTCCGAGCACAAAGGATGCAGGCACCCTCCAGGATTCCTTGTTTTCTTCATAAATTCCCCAGCTCAAGTCGCAAGCGACTCACGGGGTCAAGCTTCCAGAGCCCAAGATGGGCCACCAGGTAAGCAGCCCCATTGGGAAGGCTAACAGGGGGCTCGATTTCCTTTGGGAGCACGACGAGACACTCCCCAAGCTCCTAAAGAACCTACACTCCTTCTCCATGTGTCCCTCTCACAAAGGGCACCGTACCCTGTTACAGATCTGCGGCTCTGTTTTACTTTAAAACATAATTTCTAATATCAGAATGTGGTACATGGAACAGGAAAACATGAACACTCACAAAGGATTCTTTTAATATCTTTGAAGATTGTTTTCCCATTGTTTAATTAAAATGGGAAATAAAAACACACAGATAGCCCCTTCCACTAGCAGGAATGATTCTCTTTGGTGATTGAAAAAAAAGCAGGATAAAAAAAAATAAAAAAAAAAAGTTGCTAAATAAAAAATTTTAAAAAAATTTTTAAAAAAGAAAAAAGAGCAGGAAATGAAAGAGTAACAGATGTTCTGACGACCCGTCATTTCCATAATCAAAGTTTTGAAACTTCACACACAAAGAAAGAAGCTCAAACAAACGTCTCGGCCTGGCAACTCTGAGACGTCTGAACTGGACTAACAGGGACAGATGATGAGGTTGTGTGTGTTGGGTGAGCCTGGTGGCAAAGAAGAAGGTGCTCGGCCAGCTCTCCACCTGGGCCTCACCTGTCCTCAGCCAGGAACCTGCTCACGGCCCTCACCTGTCACAACTCTCACACGGGAGACCCACAGCCAGCCCTGGAGCCCGCCCTGCCCACACCCTCCTGCATAATGCACTCAGCTCTCCTCTGAGGCCCCTGTCAGCTTTACCCAGACCTGGAACTCCCCCATCTGCTGCAGAGCTCCAGGATTCCCCCTCTTCTTCCAAAATGACACTGGTCCAAAGGTAGAAGGCTACTTAATGAATGGTTCACACCTACTTTCCCTTTCTGTCGTATTTCTCTCCATTTACCTTCCTACCTGTGCAAACTGTAAGTAACATATCAATGGAATATGAACATGCTCTGAGATCGGATTCTTTCACTGCAACCTTCTGAGGACTCCTTGTATAATAAAATACCATATCCTATGACGGGGGGATTAAAACTATTATTTACAGAATAATTCAGCCCAAATCACCTCAATTTTAATGGCTCTTCATTAGGCAGAACAGTTTCTGTGGAAAAAGACTTTCCATAGAGGGGCGCCTGGGTGGCTCAGTCGTTAGGCGTCTGCCTTCGGCTCAGGTGATGATCTTGGGGTCCTGGGATCGAGCCCCGCATCAGGCTCCCTGTTCAGCGGGGAGCCTGCTTCTCCCTCTCCCACCCCCCCCCCCCCCGCTTGTGTTCCCACTCGCTATCTCTCTCTCTGTCAAATAAATAAATAAAATGTTTAAAAAAAAAGACTTTCCATAGACATTACCTTCCAGCAATTTCATAAGGAGTCAACGGAAGCTCTGTGGGATAACCTGACGCACCTAGGCTCAGGCAAGCAGTTCCAGAACTCAGCCCAGTGCTCCTGACACCAGCATGCCTCCATCCAGAATTCCCAAACACTCTCCTTCTGACTCCACCACCAAAGAAACTACAGAGAAAATACAGCATGTCAAAATATCTAGATGATACATTTAGAAAAACTAGAAACTCAGGCTCAACTTTTAAACAGTAAAAGCCTGCTTTGAATAATTTTGATTTTTCCCTTGACCCTAACTGTAACTCTTCTGATGAAAACACTAATCAATTATGAAACATCACCTTTGACAAATGACATCATCCGAATCTGTATCTGACGACAAAAAGCCACCTAACTCTAGATGCTGGCCGCTCAACCATATCCTAGGCCCAATTGAATAAACGCTATTAGATTGAGGAACAAAAGATATCTTAAAAACACACAAAGAGTAAATTTCACCTTCCCTTTCTAATAAAAGTTACTTCTAGGAAACAGATGATCAGAATATATTTTGTAAGCAATAAATGAACAGAGAAAATCAGATCCCCTGCAATGTTCGACCCGCAGGGAAAGTAACTCTTGAACCAAATGGAGAATGCTGAGAGCTACTTAAGTTTTACTTCGTAGCTCAACTAGAAAAAAGAGGAAAGCCCAGGAGGTTTGGGGTTAATCAGAAGTTTTACCTCCAGTCCTGACTTGAAGATGACATTGTGCCAAATGGACCTGCTGCTCTCTCTGAATGCTGACGTCCTGTGACAAGCAGCATCACTGACTCACATGCTGATGTTCAAAACTTCGGGTCTCATGGAGCCAGAGGGGAGAAGTGCTGTCAGGTGGGGATAAGTAGGACCTCCGACCTATGGCAAGCACACCTGCTTCGGTTTCTGGGAGAAGGGGAAACACATACTTGTTTTTTAAGTACTAATTATCTTCATTCTAAAGTAGACCAATGACTTTGACATTTTTGGAAACGCGAAATGACTCTTCCAAATCAACACCTCAACTCATCTGTTCCTCATGCAACTTGAGTAGGGTCTAGTTTACTCCAGCCTCCAGGCCCCCACCTGGAGAACCCTCCCGCACAATCCTGACAGCCCATTACCACCATACCCGGGGAACATGGGGCACAATGCTAAGTTGGAGGACGGCTCTGGGGCTTGTTACCGCCACACCTGTGCCTGGGGGAACAGGGGACACCCTGCTGAACTCGGGGTGCTACTCAAGGTCCATTACCTGCACTCTGCCAGGGGACAGGGGGCACCCCACTGAACTTGGGGACTGTGTGCGGTCCTTACGTGCACTCTTCCAGGGGAACACGGGAAACCCTGAAATGTCCGCAACCCATCCCAAAAAAGCTCGGGTGAGCGGAGCCCTGGAGTTCACGGGGCTGGGGGATATGGCCCGTTGAAGGACTTTCAACGATTAGGAAACTCATCTGAGTTCGCGGGATTAGCTCGCTCCCCGCCTCCTTCGAGGACCCAACTCCCACCCGAGGTGCACCCTACCCCCGGGACCCCACCCCGGCCCACAGCGGGGTCTCACCAAGCCGGGAACTCTACAGGTGAACTCTCTGGGAGCTGGCCTTCTGCCCCACCTCTGCATCCGGGGCCGCTCCGGGTCCTCCCTCAGAGAGGTAACTCCACCCCCACGCGGTGATTGGTCGGGGAGGGTGGTGCCCCGAGCCCATTGGATGCCGCGCCTGCCTCTACCGGCCAACCCGCCCTCAGGCCCGCGGCTCCCTACGACGGCAGGTGGTCCAGGAGGCCCGTCCTCACGCCAACACCTGGCTTGGCGGCGCAGGCGTGGGCGGGGGCTATGGGAGGGGTCCGCCCCCCCACACACACCCGGCCCATTCCGCGGCCGCCTCTGGCTGCAGACCACCCCCAGAGCCCTGCCCCTTCCCTTCCTGCACCAACCCCTGCCTGCAGAGCTGTTCCCGGCTCCCGGCAAGATCAGCTGCGCTCGGACCTTCTGAGGCTTTGGGCTTTAGGAAATGCAATGGTTTCACGCATTTCCAAGGCAGTTTTAAACCCAAAAACTAATGCTCTAAACGTGAAGAGCTTCGCCTTCTGGTCTCACCCATGGACTGGATAGTGCTTCTTGGACCTTCAAAGCATCCTTGTAGGATGAGCCCGTTTATGCTGGAATATATATACATATGCTTGGTTCTGCAGGGAAGCTCCAGGATGAAGAACAGCCGCCCTTCTCTGCTGTTGGAGTTGTGAACGAGGAACATTTATTTTTCACTTAAAAAGAAAACATATTGTTATTCTCGACACTGAATGAACAAACCCTTTTAAACACTTTAGAGAAAAAGGAAGAGAGTTTTATTCAAACCCAAGTCAGGACAGCTGCCTGGGAGACACAATCTTCACAAAAAAGGGAGTGCTCCGGGGAAGGAACATTTGAGGCAGGTTTATATATTTGTTCTGTGTTGATTTACATACAGATTTACATATCATCATGAGGAAGAACATTCAAGAAAGTGACAGACTTTCTCTTATGTTTTCAGTTTGTACAAGTTGGTATGACTCTAATCTTATGGAAGCCAGAGAGGTTCTTTTGTTTTTCTTATCTTTATGTTTGCAATGGCATTTTGGGGTTATCTTTTTCTTCTCAAACCAGATGTACAATATGTGCTTGGGACAGAAATAGGACCCATACTCTGAGGCTTGGCCCAGTCATTTTGACCTCGGTAAAATGTTAAAGGATAGCTTCTCTGGGAGCCCAGGATCCAGGCCCACGGATGGTAAAAGATAAAAATTTCCATTATCATTAGAATTGCTACTAAAGGGAGGAACTTGAGACAAAAGTACCTTTAACAATAGTGCCAAAAAATCAAAATGATGCCTAGAGAAGTTCACCTGTCCCACGGTCAACACAGGTAACAGGTGTTCACAGATGCTGGGCTCCTCCCCTTCTCCTGCCCAAATCTCTGAAGCACACAGATAATTTAAAGTCAGAATTTTAGAACTCCTAGACATCTCAGTGATGTCTGGCACCATTCCCTTGGACTATAGAATAAAAAAGAGTAGCTCATTTTCACAACACTAATGGAAACATGAAGTGCCCCTAAAGCTTGCATACACTGTCTCAGTTCTTTCCTTGCAGATTTTGACTAATGTTAAGTCATAGTCATACCATATAAACACTACGATGGTTGGGAAGTAAGTAATCATAGCTAAGGGACTATTTTAGCAATGTTTATAAGCACTGTCTCACTTTGTAGAAGAGGCTGAGCTGAGTGTTTTTAAATACTATTTCAGACCTGTCTTACAGCACACTCTGAACATACTAGAGCCTGAATCAATTAAAAAAAAGATAGTTCTTTCAGTAACTTGAAGATCTCAAGCAGATTATAATGTCTCTATTCCTAGAGATCTTGGAGTATCTTACTCAAAGGTCCTCCACTGATCATGATGGGCATAGTTTAAAAGGCCGGCTGAATTCATTCCAGTTGGCCACACAACAAGAAAATCCTGGTACTTGATATGTTTCCAGATGGAGAAGACCAGAGATAACAGGGAAAGAGTTCCGTGTATGGAATAACAAGGGATTTGGAGTCAGTTTGGAGATCCCACTTAGGTCTCTGACACTAAAATCCTCCGTGACTCGTATCGTCTCTGAGCCCCCGTCTAACCATCTAGAAAATGTGACTAAAAATACCTACATCATAGTTTAGAAGTTTAAGAGGGAGAATTCCACAAAGAGCAGTGTGATGGAGCTCAAGGGCAGGTGCTCAGAAACCATAATTACTATTTGGATCTATTTCTTTTCCAGAAAAAAGGACACATGTTGAAACCATATTTCTGATAGATGACTCACAAGATGATTTTCAAACCTTAAGGAAGGTCAAGAAGCTGCTATTGTGTCATGTTTCACTCAGAAATCATCTTGTTGGACTGGTGAGGACAATACAATAGCACCATCATCACTAGGAGTGGGGAGCTTCCCATTTCCATATGGCTATGTTGTCCCCCTTAGCTCAGGGCTACCAGAAAGGGCAGCTGGGGGCGACCACATGCCAAGGCTGCCAGGTGTGGCTGAGGCAGGCAGAACTCGGACTTAAGGCTCAACTCCTGTCTACCTTATTTATAGTGCTCTTCACGGATAGAATGCCATTGTCTGTGAGCTCTGATGTAGGAAAGATCGAGACTTTCCATTGTGATTCCCTCTCTGACCCTTAGGATATGTAGCAAATTTACATTTAAGTTTTAAGCATTGAGGGACTTCCTGCTTTTCTTTTCATTATGACTATGGCTCGATTCCCTGTAGTCTAAGAATATAACCTAGTTAATTTCAGGCTTTTAAAATGTGTAGACTTGATTCATGGCCCAACATATCGTCTATTTGGATAAATATTCTAGCACCACTTGAAAATAATGTATTCTGCACTTACTCTGTAATGTTCCATATATGTCAATTAGGTCACATGTCTTACCAATGTTTTGTCTGCTTTTTCTATCAGATATTGAGAAAGGTATATTAAAATCTTCAAGCAATGCTACTCTGGTCAACATTCCATTGGAGAATCTCCCAAGTGTTATAAGCCAAGAGAAACAAAAAGAATAAGAAGCGAGGAGAACATTGTGACTATTTACAGATAATATGATGGTGTACATAGAAAATCCAAAGTATTCTATAAATACACTATTAGAATTAAAAATGGAAAACTTGCAAATCTTAGAACCAAGGAAGCAATCCAGAAAGCAGCCAGGGGGAACAGATTTCTTATGTACGGAGGGAGGAACATCAGAATAACGTCAGACCTGTCCAAAGGGACTTTGCAGGTGAAAAAGAGCTGGAAAGACATATTCACAGTACTAAATGAGAACATGCAGCCAAGGATACATAACCAGGGAAATGTTGCAAAAGAAAACCAAACCTGGGGGCATCACAATGCCTGACGTCAATCTATATTGCAAATCTGTGACGGGATGGTATTGGCACAAAAACACATAGATCAATGGAACAGAATAAAGACCCCAGAAATGGACCCTCAACTCTATGGTCCACCAATCTTTGACAGATCAGGAATGAATGTCCAATGGAAAAAAGACAGTCTCTCCAATAAATGGTGCTGGGAAAATTGGACAGCCACATGCAGAAGATTGAAACTCGACCATTCTCTAACATCATGGACAAAGATAAACTCAAAATGGATAAAAGACCTCAATGTGAGACAGGAGTCCATCAAAATCCTAGAGGAGAACAGAGGCAGTCACCTCTTTGACATCAGCCACAGCAACTTCTTTCAAGACATGTCTGTAAAGGCAAGGGAAACAAAGGCAAAAATGAACTTTTGGGACTTCATCAAGATAAAAAAACTTCTGCACAGCAAACGAAACAGTCAACAAAACCAAGAGGCAACCCATGGAATGGAAGAAGATATTTGCAAATGACATTACAGATGAAGGGCTGGTACCCAAGATCTAGAAAGAACTTCTCAAACTCAACACCCAAAAAATAATAATACTAATAATAATAACCCAATCAAGAAATGGGCAGAAGACATTAACAGACATTTCTCCAAAAAAGACATAAAAATGACTAACGTTTAACATCACTAGCCATCAGGGAAATTCAAATCAAAACCACAATGAGATACCACCTCACACCGGTCAGAATGGCTAAAATGAACAAGTCAGGAAATGACAGATGTTCTGAGGATGTGGAGAAAGGGGAACCCTCTTTACACTGTTGGTGGGAATGCAAGCTGGTACAGCCACTCTGGAAAACAGTATGGAGGTTCCTCAAGATGTTAAAAATAGAACTACCCTACTACCTGACAATTGCACTACCGGGTATTTACCCCAAAGACACAGACGTAGTGAAAAGAAGGGGCACCTGAACCCCAATGTTCATAGCAACAATGTCTGCAATAGCCAAACTGGGGAAGGAGCTCAGATGCCCTTCAACAGATGAATGGATAAAGATGTGGTCCATATATACAAGGGATTACTCAGCCATCAGAAAGGATAAATACCTACAATTTGCACTGACGTGGATGGAACTGGAGGGGATTAGGCTAAGTGAAATAAGTCAAGCAGGGAAAGACAGTTACCATATTGTTTCACTCATATGTGGAACATAAGGAATAGCATGGAGGACCATAGCGGAAGGAAAACTGAATGGGAAGAAATCAGAGAGGGAGACAAACCATGAGAGACTCTGGACTCCGGGAACCTAACTGAGGGTTACAGAAGGGAGGGGGTGGGGGAATGGGGTATCTGGGTGATAGGTATTAAGAAGGTCACATATTGTGACGAGCACTGGGTGTTATATGCAAATAATGAGTCATTTAACAATACATCAAAAAATAAAGATGTACTATATGTTGGCTAATTGAGCATAATTAAATAAGTAAATAAATAAATATGCTTTCTACATGAAAAACAAATAATGGGTACAGAATTTCAGATTTGCAAATGAAATGTTCTCAAGATATGCATCACAGCAGTATAAATATACTTAACACTACCGGACTTTATACTGAAAATGTTAAAATGGCAAAATCAATGTTATGATTTTTTACAACTTTTTCCCCTTTTTTTATTATGCTAATCACCATGCATTACATCATTTTTCCCTGCCTACTATCTTCTTTTTTCTTAACATATAATGTATTATTTGCTTCAGAGGTACAGGTCTGTGATTCAACAGTCTTACACAATTCACAGTGCTCGCCATAGCACATACCCTCCCCAATGTCTATCACGCAGCCGCCCCATCCCTCCCACCCCCCACCACTCCAGCAACCCTCAGTTGGTTTCCTGAGATTAAGAATTACTCACATCAGTGAGATCATATGACAGATTTTTTACAACTTTTTAAAAGTACATTCTGTAGGATTCCACTTTTATAAAGATTTTATTAATTTATTTTAGAGAGAGAGAGTGTGGCACGGGAGTGGTAGGAGAGGCAGGAGGTGGAAAAGAGAATCGTGAGCCCACGCTGCCCTGAACACAGACCCTACATGGGGCTCCATCCCACACCATGAGATCACATCCTGAGCCAAAATCAAGAGTCAGCGGCTTAACGGACTGAGCCACCATCCATCTCCTTGGGCATTACTGTTGTTCTATTCCCTGCTCTCTCCACCAGTGCTGTGCTGAACACTCCTGAAAACACATCTGTGAAAAACCGGGCCAGAGTTTCCGGGGGTGAGCCTGAGGCCAAGCACTGCCAGGTGATGGGTGCACCTGCGGCCTGGGATGGGTGCTGCTCACTGTTCTCCCAGACAGGGGTGCCCGTCACCCTTCTCTCCAGGGGACCTGCGGGGGACCCCCATGTCCTCAGGCACCTGAGGGCCACCCGGCCCAGGAATTCACCTTCTCTAGCAGAGGACAGATGGGACTTCTTTCTCTGGCCAGGCATATGAACCCTGATCCTGGGAAAGGAGAGCTCTCCTGGACTCCTCACCCAGCCAGGCAGCTGTGGCCACGATGTATGTGATGGAGCCAGAGCGGCTGGGCCTTGGAGGGAATGAGTGCCTTAAACCAGCCTTGCGCAGGGCATGTGGGAGCAACAGCCCCTGCTTCCTGGGGAGCAGTGATGTGTGCGGAAGGAAGGAGGCTGGGGTGGAGCCTTCCAAGCCACACCACAGTCTCTCCCTTGGTCCTGAAACCAGCAGGAAGGGAGCTCCGAGAGCGGAGACGAGACTCCAGGAGGATTCCTATCCAGAGAAAGGGTGCCCTGAAGCAGCCAGCCCCACCGACCCGCAGACCATTTGCACAGGATCACCTCCCGCGCTTCCTTAGCAAGTTGTCCGTCTTCGTGTGTGGACAGTGACTGGCTGGTGCACTTCCAGAGGCAGACTAGAAACTTTTCAGTGCTTGCTCGTGGGTCAGAGGACCACCGCCCAAAGAAACAGAGGATGTCCTTCTTCCTCCGGAGCTGGGGAAGGCAGCCACCATCCTGGAGCAGGACCGGGTCCAGGAGTGTGTTCTTTCTGAAGCCCCCACTTTCAGTGGGCATTGCTGTGCCTGAGAAAGGCCCACTGAGCCCCAGAGTCAGGAGCAGTGAGGGGCTGTCTCCAGCCCTGGCCCAGGATCATGACCCGAAACCATCCTGTCTTTGGGAGGACAGGTCTCCTTCAGGAGCCAGGGAGGGGACTGGCCCCTCTCCCCTCCCCAGGTCCAGGACGGCCGGGACCTGCAAGAGCTCTTCATCTGAGGAGGAGTCATGGAGAGCGTGTGTGTCTCGTCAGCCCAGCAAGTGAAAGAACCAAACCCCAATGCTCAGGTTCTAACAGAAGCAGAATTTCAATGTACCATTTAGGGGCAGCCTCCTCCCTTCTTACGTGGCCTTAGGGGACCCCAGGGAAAGTCTTTGTTCTCCTTCTGTCAGAGACAAGAGCTGGCCCCGTGTCACGGGGTCCCCACCACATCCCCATTCCTGAGGAAGAGCCACACACAGGGGCCTGGTGTCTGGAGTGTGGTCGGCCACTGCTCCTGGGCTCCCAGCCAGGGGCCTGGGGGCTGCATGGAAGGGCTGGATTGCTTTTGGGGGGAGGGGTGCTCACTGCCCACACAGCTCACCATCCCCCACTGCACTCTGCAATCCAGGTTCTGTGCCCAGCACCCCACATGTTCCTGCCATGGGAGCAATCATTCAGCATTGCCCCATTGCACAGAGGAGGAGAGTGAGGCCCAGAGAGGGGAGGTACATGGCTCCAGTCCCAGGGCTGGTCAGCAGAGAAGCTGGAAGGCCAGCCCTCCTAAGCCCCTGCTAGCCCAGCCAGAGACTCCCTGAGCTGAAAGCAAGCCCTCCCCTGCCTGCCCAGCCACGCACTGGCCCCTGAGCTTCATGATGGCCTGTTCTTGGCCCTGAAGGTGTTGCTGGCCGACTAGGAGGGGGAGTCCAGCTCGGGAGACAGGCTGTAGATACAGGACAGAGTGACACGTCTGAGCTAATAGGAGCCACACTCTGGTCTCCCTCCCAGAGCCTGCCCGGAAGCTGAAATCTGGGTGCCCTAGGGGCCAGCACACAACAGGGTCTGCGCTGGCCAGGGAGCCATGGCCCCCAGGGAGAGTCCACTCTGCCCTCTCCCCGCTCCTGCCTGGCCTCACCTCTCCTCACTGTGGGGCTGCAGGACCCAGAATCAAGCCCCATAGGGCTGGCTCTGCTCCAGCTTGTAATGATTTTGCAATCCCGGAACAGCTGGATTTCCTGGGACTGGAGGGAGGACTGGCTGCAGACAGGGACTGGGCTGGGGAGGATGCGGGCCTTGTGGAGGGTGAAGGATGGGGCAGGGACCGGGTCCTGGGGCTGAAATCCCTGAATGCCCATGGGGTCCCTGATTACAGTAACGACCAACTTCACACTCGGGCATCCTGCTGGGGGGCCCCTCCTCCCCGGCCTCCTTCCTGCCCCTCTGACTCCAGCCAGGGCTGCAGCCATGGACAGGCTGGACCTCTGTCCTGGGTCCTGCCAGGAAGACAAGGCAGAAGGAGGAGAGGAGAAGGGGAAGGGGCGGACTGATCTTCTCCCTGCCCTGAGTTGTCCTCCACTGATGCCTCCAGGTCCTCTGGCCCAGCCCTGCATTTAGCTGGACCCGGAGAGGGTATCTGCATTCCAGGCCAGCTGGGTGGGGGGTATTCAGTGACTTTTGCATCCCCAGATATCCACCCCACCTGGCCTTGCACCCTAAGGCCTGCTGCCCAGGATGGGTGTGGTTGCGGGGCTCAGTGGACTTTGGGGCCACAGAGCAGTTGGCGGTGGTGAGAGAACGTGGGGAACCGGTCAGGTGCGGAGCCATGGGTCTCGTGCACATCCGCCGCAGGGCTGGGTCATGCTACAGGAGCTGTGGGCAGCTCATCTGTGCACACCTGGCCATGACACACCTGGTTGCCCCTCTCGGTGGGGAGACCTGTGTGCCTGGTGCACCTGTCCTCCACCTACCCCTGGAGGAGTGGCCGCATTCAAGCATTTCCATGTCCAACCCTCAGGGACAGTTGGGAACCTGGGTCAAGAGAGGCAGGGACTGGCCCAGGACAAATAAGGGGTGCAGAGTCCAAGGAGCAGGGCCGCTATCCAGTCCTAGGCCAGCCCAACCTTCCCATGAGGTTCACTTCGGAAGTGAGAGCCCCTCAGATCCTCGGGAATAGCTACCCACCCCATCCCATGTGGGGACATGACCTTGGGCATCCCCAGACACATAGAGGCATGCACACCTGCACGCACACACGCACACACACACACCCCACTCTGGCTGCCCAGCTGGGGGTCAGAAGGGGAGGACACCCTGGTAGCAAGGTGGGTGACAAGGGGTAAAGAAGAA